ACCGAATAGGCGTTATTGTGTAATAACAGACTCGAGTGATAGGATTTCTAACGTCATCAAAGTGCGTCCTAATCATCTTTAGACATAAACGCTGCTAAAACCCTTTGAAATAAAGTGGATGTGTATTGTACCATTTTGTAGGCAATTAAATTTCCTACAAAAAAGTCAGTGGCAGCATATATCCACAGTTGATAGGATTAGCATGGGAGGCGTCCGAACTTTTTGAACTATTCTGTAATGAACACCTGAATCATCGTTCTACTTGAACTGAAATATCGGTTTGTTATTGGCCCTTGGGAATTTCAAGAAAAAACTCAGTCAATCTAGATACTATGAGAAATCTTTTCATGATTGAATCATTTCTGTGAATTGAATATTGGAATTTTGGTAGCTGTTTAAAAAAGGACAATTCTGAATAGCGTCAATTGATTTTGATATGCGATATTTCTGAAACTAATGATCGTAAATCAGTGAAGGTTGATTCATCTTCTGGAAAATTCTATTCTGTACATATTTGATCTCCTGATATTTTTTGCTAACTGTAACCGTTTTCCCGAGGTACATCAATAAAACGGGAGAGACAATTTCCACTGCGTTGATTTTGTCCCTACTAGTGTGACGTCACGAAAGCGATGCTCCGGCCCGGTTAGATAGAGTAGGCCCTGTGCAAATACTATAATTTTCTGGTGGGTCACATAAAGAATGCAGCTCCATTAACAATGTTCAAAAATCGCCTGACAGTTTGACATTTTTCACAATTCCTCTGTATTTTTTACATGACAATTGCTGAAATGAATGAATTATTATCATTATTATTATTATTAAATTGACAAAGTGGGATAACGGCTTTGCTGTTTTAGATAGATGAACAAAAATTCTTGAGATGGTCTAGTCTCATGAGCAGTAAATTTATGAAATATTTTGCGTAATACAGGGTTACTCAGAAATGCGTGGCGTATCAGAGTTATACTTTTCCTTTTAGCAAACCTTGTATTTTAATGCATTTTCAGATTCCTCCTTATGAGCTGATTCCAACTATCTATATCACACTTTTAGTTTCAAGAGAAATTATCACCGAGAAATAGGGTGCAAGCACCACACTTAATTGATGATTTTTGCTACTTCGGCTTGTGCAAATCGGCAGATTATGTTATTTTCGTGTATAATTGCCTTCAAAAAATTAACCGCGCTCGGGAATGTACAGGGTAGCCAACTAAGAATCCAGAGTTCGATACCCCTGTTGTCTTGAGAGATACAAAAAAAAGTTTTGTATTCAAATTGAAGTGATAACCCAGCTTCACATTTCAAAATTTCTTTGAAATACACAGGGTGTTCCGTAAGGTCACAGCACATCAAAGCTATTTTTTTTTTATTGGAACACCCTATATTTCATTTCATTTTCGAATTCTCCCTGAGGATCTGATTTAAACGACGTATCATACTTAGGGTCTAGCAGTGAAAGTTACTGACATATAGGGTGTGCAAAATCGAGATTTTCCAAGTTCAGGATTTTTTTCTGTCGAAACTGTTCATTATTCGTCAAAACGGTTTACATGTCCGTATCTCAACTTTTCACTCACTATCAATTGGTGTTCAATTGACATTTAATTGAAACAAATTATAAATTAAGATTTTTTGACCACCTTGTATCAATTTCAATTGAACACCAATTGATAGTGAGTGAAAAGTTGAGATAGGGACATGTAAACCGTTTTGACGAATAATGAACAGTTTCGACAGAAAAAAATTCTGAACTTGGAAAATCTCGATTTTGCACACCCTATATGTCAGTAACTTTCACTGCTAGACCCTGAGTATGATGGGTCGTTGAATTCAGATCTTCAGGAAGAATTCAAAAATGAAATAAAATATAGGGTGTTTCGATGAAAAAAACAAAGCTTCGATGTGCTGTGACCTTACGGAACACCCTGTGTATTTCAAAGAAATTCTGAAATGTGAAGCTCGGTTATTACTTCAATTCTGATACATGACTTTTTTTTGTATCTCTCAAGACAACAGAAAAACCGAACTCTGAGGTCTTAGTTGGCCACCCTGTACAGGTTACGATTTCTTTTTAAACTTTGTGGCTCTCCCATTTACTTATGTCATGCTCAAATCGTCAGATTATTGAAATGCACACTTTTCTGCATGTAATTGACATAATATATCTTAATCTTATCGGCTGTCCATAACTCTCGGCACCATATTAGCAATATTCTTTTTACCTTGTTACATTCTCACTACTGAGATCAATTGAGTTAAAAGGAGGTGAGACGGAACTGAGGTGTCGATTGAATAAAAAGAACACGTTTTTGTCTGTCAGAAATGGCAAGGGAAAAGAACAACCCAACATAGTTCAACCAAAATGTAAAATGGCTGAGGAAATTGATTAGGAGCATAGAAATATTATTCTAGAAAATCCCGAACCAATAGGTGGCGCAATTAAACGTCAAATCAACGTCAAATTTCAAACTGAGTATGAACAACAAAAACATTGCCGTATTGCAAATCGGTTATTCGGAAATCTTCTTGTGAAATAGTTACTAAGTTGACTTCGTGAAATCTTCATAATTGACGTACTAGGTTTCCAGTATGGTAAAAATAACTTATTGTCAATTCCATTTCATTTTGGGCACCTTCAAATTCATTATTCTGATTCTTCATTGTCAATTCCATTTCTTTTCGGAGAATCTCAATTATTATCATGTAAGTACTTACTTTCTGTATAAGGAGTATAAGGATAGTCCTATTTGTTATACATATATGATGATTTCGGAATATAAGTTTCTTCACGAGATTTGGTAGTTGAATAAAAACTTGCTGATGGGTTTCGTTTCAACTAGTTTGTGAACTTGCTGCATGTTTCGAAAAAATGAACGCAATTACCAGCACTCAGACACAAAGTAAACCTCAGAAAAACATTATCAAAATTCACTCAAAATAATGGTCGCCATATTTGTTGTCATTGTTGTTCATACTCGCAAGACTTGAAAAATTTGCCACCAGAGGCCGAACACTTCGTGATTCTCAGCATGTCGAAATGAGAATATAACCTCACAATCTTCAGCACAAAACCACAGCATCACTAGAATTAATCCAGTATCACCTTTTTCTCACTACAACACCAGATGAATAGCAAGCTCAGTTGGGGTGAGGGGAAAGAAATAGTCTCAATAAATTCTTAAGACAACTCACACCAGACTAAGATAAATGAAACATGTAATACAACTGAGCTATTGAGCTGCTCTGAGAATCTTGGTTAATCTCAGTCAAAATTGGTAAAAAGAATATTACTACTAATACACTCCCCGACAAATAATTCCGGACAGTGAAATTTTTAGCAAAATTGTTCGCCCTGTAACTTTCGTAATCCTCTTCCGATTTCGATGAAATTTCGACCAAAGCGTAGGATTATGTTTCGTAAAATCAGCCTGATATTTTTTTCCGAAAAACATCCATTGTCCTAATCATTATACAGGGAAAAACAGAAGTAACTTTTCAACGCTCTGTGGCAAAAGTGAGCAATCAAAATCAGTTTCAGTTCGTATAGTATTGAAGTGGGATTCCCTCTCAATACATCTATTCTTTGATTCACGTCGATGTCTTCTTTTCAAGACAAGATACAAAGGTTTAAAAAAGTATGGCAAATTTGATTTATATCAACAATATTCCACAACCTACTTGAACTCATTCATCACACTGGTCTTTGGTTGCGTAGTAACATTAAAAGTATTGTTTAACAAAGTGTCAGTATTCTGCCATTCCATAATAAACTTTTTTTTTTGTGTGTTGAAAATGAGACCCGAGGATGTTGCACGTGCTGTTGCCTTGAATGATGATGGTCGTAGTATGAGGTATATTGCAGAATACTTAGGCACAGTAAAAAGTACTGTACAAGATGCGATTAGTCGGTTTCGTCAGACTGGTGAGTACATACGACGCCGGGGATCAGGTAGACCACGTGGTACCAATCAACGTGATGACCATCTCATCAATCTAACAGCCATATAGGGAGGAGTATCATTAAATTCTCGTACGAACCTGGTGCTCATAGAAAATGGTTCTTCAACTGCTGCTCGTTACATCCGACAATGTTTAGCTGAACATGTGGTACCCTTTGCGGCTTTGTTGGGCAAAACTTCATTCTAATGCAAGATAATGCCAGGCCTCATGTTGCGCGAATCGTGACAGAATACTTGGACGAGGTAAATATCCGGTGATTATAGTGGCCCACGCGTAGTCCAGACCTGAATGCTATTGAGCACGTTTGGAACATGCTGGGTAGACGTGTTCGCAATCGCCACTCGAGAACATTACCGGATTTGCGGACAGCCCTCCTAGAAGAATGGGAAAATATTCCGCAAGAGGCCATCGACAACTGCATTGAGAGTATGCCTCGTCGCATAGAAGAAGTACTAATAAAACGCGGTGGCAATACGCGATATTGATTTTAAGTTATTCGTTTTTCATTTCAAGTTGTTGATGTTTTTGTTATTTCTGAATTATTATTGATGAATATAAAAAATGCCATATTTTCTTGAAACACTTGCATCTTCTCTTCAAAAAAAGATATCGACGTGATTCATGTACCATTTTGTTAAGAAGGAATCACATTTTGATACTAAACATAATGAAACTGATTTTTATTGCTCACTTTTGCCACATGGCGTCGAGAAGTTGAGGGTATGGAAGTTTCTTTTGTTTTTCCCTGTATAATGATTAGGACAATAGATGTTTTTCGGAAAAAAATATCTGACTGATTTTGCGAAACATAATTTTACGCTTTCGTCGAAATTTCATCGAAATCGGAAGAGAATTACGAAAGTTACAATGCGAACAATTGTCCGGAATTTATTGTCGGGGAGTGTATAAAGGGCCCAAGTATGGTGGAAGTACTTCACAAGGTCCAAAGATACCCCCCCCCCCCTTATGTTAATCTGCCGCGCTCGAGTGAATCCCGAAATCCCCGCTTGGGCTTCCCTACTATAACGGAAACTTACTTTATCATGCTATTGATGAAAGTAGCTGGAATAGCAACAGCAAACCATGTTCCTAATTGCCTGATGAAATTCCTAGGTTCCTTCCTCACTATGTATTTCACGATAGTACCTTCAAGATTTGCAACATATATACTCAAGAAAGTTCTCAGAAATAGGAATGTCGTATGCGTTCCCAGTAGTGCTATCTCTGTACTGAGCAAATTCGGAATCATTATCCTAAGTAGTTTTATGAATTGTAATATAAATGCTAGATTCAAGTTTGGTATACCATTCCTGAACCGTCCTATAGATTTTTTCTTCTTGACACTTCCAGTCTGGTGTTTCATACCATTACTGACTAGATTATTGTTCAAGGTTAGGTTTTCCTTATTAGATTTATGTATTAGATAATCTATGAGAGGATACCCTACTTTATAGGCATATGTGAAAAGAGCTGTTGCTATCACAGCGCCTGATATGACATTCCTATTTGCGTGAAATGTCTGTTCTCCTTTTTCTAGGAATTTCGATACAACTGACGGCATCTTCAGGTTTGGAAAATTGAATTTCTGTTCGCAGTCTCTATATGTGATGTCAGTTTTTGGAGGTGATGTTGCTAGTGGCTGGTTTCATTTTCGTTACATTAGATGGTCCATCTGAAACAAAGAAATGTTTTTTCATCACTATGATATTATCCTGAGAACGAACGAATGTCTATTGATTTCTATTTAGCCAGGTCACGCTAGACACCTAGAGACTCATCAGTGCAGGGCAGTCTCCAGGCAGCAGCCCTATAACCGCTGACTAAGCGTAACCTAGCAAAACAAAAATCAAGTGGGCATTATATTCCCTCAGAGGCGTCCTCCATAGACAATATGAAAGCAACGCCATCTGAGTAGCAACGAAGAAAGAAACACTCCCAAACTGAAATTCCCATACGGGACTGGCTGGTTGCCCGACTGACGTAATTTCAACTACGAAATAGCCACAATGCTCAAAGTGGAATGAAATGTTGAATAAATACAAAAATCTCAAAGTCATATCCACACAATGTTCATAAAATGAACAACAATGGTAGATTTTGGTAGAAAAACAACTTTTTTCCTGGCTAATCCCACGAAGAACACTGAATTAATTACATCCTCCTATGCATCGACTCGTATAAACGATTTTTTTTTATCGCTCAGAGCGCACGGAAGGGAATTCCTATAATGTTCAAAGAACATCGTGCGTTCCTAGGGAGGATGGGGACAGGAGGTAGGTATTGGAATTTATTTTTGAACTTCTGGAGATTATAATATGTTGTTAGGAATACTTCCACAGGCAATGAATTCCAGAGCCTAGCCATGCTATGGATGAAGGAGTCTTGATAAAGTGCTGTTCGACATCTTTCGAGGTTGACAACGAAAGGATGTGCTGACTGGGCTTGTCTAGTTCGTCTGATTGGTAATGCTAGTGACGGGATGATAGCAGAGATTTCCGAAGAAAATTTCCCGTGGAAGTATCGATAGAAAAGTGACCGACCATTCTACGGTGTTCCAATGATGTCAAAGAGTGAGTGAGTGAGTGTGGCGTCACCCACCAAGCGAATGGCTCTTCTCTGGATGGAATCTAAGAGCATCAGCGTATGTTTTGGTGCTGAACCCTATATGTGGGAACAGAATTCTAGAACAGGCCGTATCTGCGCTTTGTAGATCATGAGAAGCTGTTGAGGTGTAAAGTAGCTTTTTGCACGGAACAAGAATCCGAGTTTTTGTGAAGCAGCTTTTGCGATGGATCTGACATGATTATCCCATGAAAGAGTGTTGCTGATGAAAATACCGAGCATAGATATGGTGGGCTTGGTGGGGATGGTGGAGCCAGACATTACAATATCGGGCATACTGAGTTCCGCCTTTCTAGACAAAATACAGGCTTGAGTTTTGGTGGCGTTGAATTCAACTAGGTTGTTGGTTCCCCAGGCTGTGATTTCAGCAAGATCTTCATTGACAGCATTGACCTGCCTGCGCCGTGAGTTCTAAGTTTCCTGGGAAGAAATGGGAATTCTGGAAGAGAACGCAGTATGGAGGGTACTATCATCTGCAAAGCTGTATATGGGGAAAGTTGTTACTCCCAACAGATCATTGATATGAAGAAGGAATAATGTTGGTGCCACAGTTGATCCTTGTGGAACGCCGGAATTGATGCCAATGGTATCAGACGATACACCGTCCACCACCACGTGAAGCGATCTGCCTGAAAGAAAACTCGATAAGAGATGGCATTGCTGAGGTGGTAAGCCGTATGATGGTAGTTTGTGGAGGAGTCCTTCGTGCCAAACACGGTCGAATGCTTTCGATATGTCCAACGCGACAGCTAGAGATTCCCCGTGTTTTTTTAATGAAGCTTGCCATAAATGGGTGACGTAGGCAAGTAGATCTCCAGTAGATCTTCGGTGGCGAAAGCCGTATTGTCTATTATTGAAGATTCCTGAGCTCTCCAGATATTCGATAAGCTCAATATTGATGGCTTTCTCCATCACTTTGGAGATTACTGATAACAGGGCAATGGGCATGTAGTTGTTGGGCAGGTTCTTGTTCTCTTTTTTGGTGATTGGTTGGACTCTAGCTGTCTTCCAGCATAAAGGAAAAATACCCGACCTGTACGAGACGGTAAACAACTTGCAGAAAATCGGTGTTAATTCTGGTGCACATTTTTTCAGGATAATGGGTGGAATTCCATCAGGACCGTTAGCCTTATTCGTTTCGAGACCAATCAAAATTCGTCTCATAGTGCGTTGACGGAAAACGATTTCGGGCATTCGACTCTCAACGGGTGGAATGTCTGGCGGCACTTTTCCTTGGGAATCTGAAGTAGAGTTTGCTGCGAACATCTCTGCAAAAATATTTGCTTTCTCCTGCGATGTTGTTGCTAATGTGCCGTCGGATTTGGACAGTGGTGGAAATGAACTATAAGTGAAATTTCTTCCGACCGCTTTAGCAAGGGACCAAAACGAACGGGAGCCATTGGGACAATCTATGAGTTTCGATCTTATCTTGGCGAATACTGATACAAGTGGATCTTTACTGAATGCCTATACCATTGTTGTTCAATTTATGAACATTGTGTGGATATGACTTTGAGCTTTTTGTATTTATTTAACATTTCATTCCACTCTGAGCATTGTGGCTATTTCGTAGGTAATATTGAGATATCAAAAATCTTCTCATACTGAAGTTTATTAAAACTGGGTTATCAATAATCCATACAAACTGAAGATTTCAAACTGGTCAGCAACTTCAACACAATAAACATCGGAATCAAATGAGAACATATTTCAAGAAATATGAACTGGTTTAGAAACATAATTGACCTTGGTGACTATTATGATATAATTATCTAATTCCAGAAATTGATAGACATTGATGTATGGAGTCATTAATGATGTTTCAATGGTCTTCAAAATAAATAAAAACTGGAAATTCAGACATCATGAATACAAATAATGAATGATACGTAATTGATTGATTTCAACAATATGTTTATGTTTACACGTATATTAGAAATATAGGAACAATTATGGAAATTCATCATGAATTAGTAGTAGGAGAATGAACATAATATTCTATTGAAATTCATTGACAAGGCGATTCACTTTTTGAGTATCAAACTAGAGGTTATTCGACTCATTCGAGAATCTGTTCGTCTGTAAGTTGATCGAGAACGTAGAATATTGATATATACAGGGTGGCCCACGGTCGATGGTACCTTGAACGTATACGGAAAACGGTACATTGGATTATCCTGCAAATTTGGTAACTTCAATAAGCTTTTGTGATCTAACGATTCAAAATATTTTCAGCGAAGCAGCGTTGCCACTTTTACCAAAAAGTAGCATCATCTTTGTTGTTTCAAATGGAACACCCTGTATTTTATTGCGTTTTTAGATTCTTCTCGAAGAGCTGATTTCATCAATGTATCACACTTGGGGTCTAGCAAGAATTATTACAGAGATATAGGGTGTTCAAAATCGAGATTTTTCAACTTTAGGATTCTTTTGTGTCGAAACTATTCATCATTGGTCAAAACGGCTAACATGTCCCTATATTAACTTCTGAATAACTATCTACCGACATTTAATTGAAAAAAATACAGGATGGTCCAAGATTCAGAATTTTGATCACCCTGTATCTGTTTCAATTAAATGTCAGAAGATAGTGAATCGAAAGTTAAGATAGGGACATGTGAGCCGTTTTGATCGAAATCGAGAATCGTGAATCGTTCTATCAATGAAGTTCTTCGGATATGAGTTGAGTTGAAAAACATCTTTAATGTGGTGGATTTCGTTATTGAAAATTTGTTGGTTAGATGATATTGATTTGGCTCGATCATGAAGTGATTTGATTATTCCTTTTTTGATAGTTTTCTGATGATTTGATTGAAAATTGAGGTATCTGTTAGTATGACTCTTTTTACGATATACACTTGTTAAGAAAACACTGTTTGATTTTATAATAAGAACATCTACAAATGGTAACTGATTATCAGATTCAATTTCCAAAGTGAACTTTAGAGTAGGTTCTGCATTGTTAACATGATCTAGAAAAATTATCTAGTTCTACAAGGGTATGTGGCCAAATTATGAAGATGTCATCAACGTATCTCCACCACGTTTTTGGTTGTTTTTCGTAATTTTTAATAACGTTTTCTTCGAAATTCTCCATGAATAAATTGCTCAAAATTGGAGATAGTGGTGAGCCCATAGCCATGCCGAAACTCTGTTGATAACACTCATCATCCAATTGAAAATATGTAGATTTTAGGCATAATTCCAAAAATTACAAAATTCCTTCGATACTCAGATTGGTTCTCTCAGTAAGAGTTTCATCATCTTCTGAATTATGTTTCACTATTTGTGAAGTTTTATCTATAGGAACATTTGTGAATGAACTCACTACATCAAAACAGTGTCATTTATATCCAATGTGATATCTTTCAATTTTTCTAAGAAATGAGGAGTATTTCTAATAAAACTCTCACTCTTACCTGATATAGGATTGATAATATTCAAAAGAAATCTTATTTTTTCTTTAATTTTTTTTATCGCTTGGAGCGCACGAAAGGAAATCTCTATATTGTTCAAACATCGTGCGTTTCTAGGGAGAATAGGGATAGGAGGTAGGTATTGGAATTTTTTTGAATTTCTGGAGGTTATATGTTGTTGGGAATACTTCCTCAGACAATGAATTCCAGAGCCTAGCCGTTCTATGGATGGAGGAGTTTTGATAAAGTGCTGAATTTTGACATGGAGATCCAATTGAACTCGCTATTGGTCGCAAAGGAATATTTGGTTCATGTATTTTTGAAAGTACGTGAAAATGTGGAGGTTTGCTGTGATATATGGAGATGTTCTTCCTCTCTGCAAGTGTTAGTTGATTTTCGTGTTTCTTAATAGTGTTGCGTATCTTTCTCTCAATGTTCGCTGTTGGATCTTTATTTAATTTCGTGTAGTTGCCAAAATGGTAGATGCAAAATCAATTAATGAAAACATCCTGTAACTCATTTGTAGACTAAAATCACTCATTCATATGCCAACATCAGTATGACACTGAAAAGTGTCAAACTATAAGCAGCAAAACTTCCGAAGAAACATATTTTGCATTTATATGTTGAGAACGGCAGCAGATT